GGGGAGGTTGAGTCGGGGGGGCTCGGTAAGGCAGCAGTGTTGAAGATCGTTGCTGCTACCTGCCCCTGCTAACTCACCCCCGCTGCTTACTCGGTGAAAGCCCTCCCGACGATAGGTCGGAAGGAGGACTCAGACTTGAGCACGCGTGGTAAAACAAATCATCAAATCGACAGTTAGGAAGCCTGAATAAAGAATCCCTATTAAAAATACTTGGTATGGGATAATAATTACAAACGAATCCGTAGAGAAAAAAAAACTCTATGACGAAACCTTCTCGGGAGTCTGCGATAAGGCATCCGCGATAAGGCATCCCGTAAAAATCTGCAATGAGAAATCCGTAGTGAGGAATCCTGATTCAAAAAATGGTACGGAACGCTTCGTAAAGAATCCTCACCGAGGATCCCTGGTGGGAACCCCTTTGCACGGAATCCTTACTGAGAAATCGTTCGTGGGGAACTTTTGGTTGGGAACCCTTAGTGAGGAAGGAACCCAGAGTAAGGATTCCTTACTTGGGAATCGGTATCCTGGAGTGCTTCATGAGGAATATTTAGGGAGGGATCCTCGGTGAGGAATCCGCAACGAGGCATCCTTAGCAAAGAAACCTTAATGATAAATCCGAAGAAAGGAACACTTGCTCAGGACCCCGTAATCAGGAATCCTTAATCCAGAACCCACCCTTCGTAAGGAATCCTGGGTAAGGCATCCTTACGAATGAATCCTCGGTGAGCAATTCCTATTGAGGACTCCGCAGTAAGGAGTCCGCAGTAAGGAGTCCTGAAAAACGAATCCTCGGCAAGGACTCCTTCGTCGGGAGTCCTAAGCAATGAATCCTGAATAAGGAACCCCTCGAAACAGATCCGTGGTACAGAAAACCTTGATAAGAACTCCTCGGAAGGGAATACTGGATAAGAAAGAGCGCATTCTGTGGTCACTTGGAGAGAGGGGGGGTTTGGAACCAGACACACACACCCTCCCGTGACGAGGGGGGGGAGGTCCGAACCCCCTTCCCGCCCACCCCCCTCCCCCTTCCCCTACTTCTCCTCTCTCCCTCTCCTCGGGCCGGTGCCAGCGTCGGCGGCGATTGGCGGCGGCGGCAGGGGCGACAACTTCCTTTTCTGCGTCGGCGCCGGCGCATGAGGCGGCGGGCGGCGGCGGCGGGGAGCGTCGACGAGGACGACGACGACGACGACAACGACGCTCCGCCTCCGCGCCTTGGTTTCGGGTTAGAGTCCTAATGGATGCCTCATTGGGTCTCGTCGGAGGGCTCTCGGGGGCCTCTGAAGGGCATTTGTGAAGCATCCTGGGCGTCTCTTGGGCGTCTCTGGGGGCCTCTCTGAAGTGGTGGTGGTGGACTGTGGTGGTCGTGGTGGCGGTGGTTGTGACGGTGGTGGTGGTGGTGTTGTAATGGTCGGTGGTGGTGGCGGTGGTGGTGGTGGTGGCAAGTCGTGGTGGTGGTGGTGGCGGCGGCGGTGGTGGTGGCGCGGTGGTTTTTGGTGGTGGTGGTGGTGGTAGTTGTTGTGGTGGCAGTGGGATAAGGAGGTGGTGGTGGTGGCGGTGGTGTGGTGGTTTGTCATGGTGGTTGTAATAATGGTAATAAAACTGATAATACTGGATTGTGGCGGTGGTGGTAGTGGTGGCGGTGATGGTAATGTTATTTGTGCTGGTGTGTTGTGATAATGGTGGTTGTGGTGGTGGGTGGCGCTGGTGGTGGTGGTGGTGGTGGTGGTGGTCGTGGTGGTGGTGGTGGCTTGCGGCGGCTGCGGTTGTGGTTTGGTGATGTGGTGGTTCGTTGAGGCGGTGGTGGTTGTGGTGGTGGGCGATGGTGGAGGTGGTGGTTTGGTGGTGGTGCGGTGGTGGTTTGTGGTGGTGGGTTGTTGTTGCGGTGGTGGTGGTGATTGTGGCGTGGTGGTTCGTGGTGGTGGTGGTGCTGGTGGTTTGTGGTGGTGGTGGCGTGGTGGGTTGTGGTGGTGGTGGTGGGTTGTTGTGGCGGCGGTGGTGGTGGTGTGGTAGATTGTGGTGTCGGTGGTAGTGGCGGTGGGTTGTTGTGGTGGTAGTGGCGGTGAGATGTTGCGGCAGCGGTGGCTGTGGTGGTGGTTGAGAGGTGGTTTGCTGGTGGTGGCGCTGGTGGGTTCATGTGCTGGTGGTGGTGGTATTGGCGGTGGCGGCGGCGGCGGTGGCGTGGTGGTTTGTGGTGGTGGCGGTGGTGGGCTGCGGTGTTGGTGGTGGTGGCGGTGCTGCTGGTAGCGGTCCTGGTGGTGGTGGGTGGTGGTGGTGGGTGTGTGGTGGTGGTGGTGGTGGTGGTGGTGGTGGTGGTGGTGGTGGTGGTGGTGGTGGTGGTGGTGGTGGTGGTGGTTGTGGTGGCGGCTTGGTGGTTTGTGGTGGTAGTGGTGGCGGCGGTGGTTCGTGGTGACGGTTGTCGCGGTGGCGGTTGTGTCGATGGTGCTGGTCATGGTGTGGTGGTTTGTGGTGGTGGTGGTGGGTTGTGGTGGGTTGTGGTGGTGCTGGTGGTGGTGGCGTTTTTGGTAGCGGTGGTTTAATGGTTTGTGGTGATGGTGGTGGTTGTGGCGGTGGTGGGTTGTGGTGGTTGTGGCGGTGGTGGTGGTGGTGGCGGTGGTGGTGGTGGTGGTGGCGTTGTGGTTTGCGGTGGTGGTGATGGTGGTGGAATGGCCGTCGGCTCTTCCCGCCACCGTGTTTTGGCTTCGGGTCAGAGTTCTAATGGATGCCTCTTGAAGTCTCGTCAGAAGGGCCTCGGGGGCGCTTGAGGAGCATGCGTGAAGCCTCGTGGACCTTGCTATGGGCCTCTCGGTGGCTTCTGGGGGGCGATGGCTCGATATGGCGATTTGTGCGTTCTCTCTGCGGCCTGTGCCCTCTCTGGTAATCGTCGCTGCGACCCCGCCGTCGGCGCTGCTGGCCGCCGCAAGCGCCGGCGCCGGCGCGGGAGGGGGGGGGGTTGGAACCCCCCCCTCCCCCTTGGCCCCCTCTGGTAATCGTCGCTGCGTCCCCGCCGTCGGCGCTGCTGGCGGCCGCCAGCGCCGGCGCCGGCGCCGGCGCTGGGGGGAGGTTCGGAAGGGGAGGGGTTAGGGGGGAGGGGGATCCCCCTGGTTCTGATCGACGGCGCTGAGTTGTGGTGAGCGGGGCCCACCCCCTGGCTCGAAACCCGCACCGCCGAATGTTCCCAAGGCATGCGCCCGTGAAACGCTCTCTCCTTAGTAAGGAACCCTTAAGAATCCCTGGCATCGTATCCTTCATAAGGAATCCTGAATACGGAATGCGTAATCAGGACGCCTCAATGAGAAATCTGTCTCAAGGAAGGAAAATCCTTGCTAAGAACCTTTGGCAAAGAGTCCTTAGTAAGAGATCATTGGCAAGGAGTCCTTAATGATAAATCCGACATAAGGAATCCATTCGTAAAGAACCCTCAGTAAGGAACCTTTGGTCGAGAATCCGTACTAAGAAAAAGGAAAAAACCTTAGTAGAGAAACCATAACAGTTAGGAGTACGTACTTAGTAACCCTTCGCAAAGAATCCTCACGCAAAAACCCCGCGTGGCATTTCATAAAGAATCCTCCGTACGGAATCCTCAGCAAGGAATACTTAGTAGGCAATCCATACTAAAACCCTTTGTATTAAGAATCCGTCGTGAAGAATCCTTCGTACGAAACCCTGCGCACGGAACCCGTAAGAGAGAATCCTTCACAAGGAATCCTTACTGTGGAACCCTTAATAAGGAATCCTCAGAAAGAACTCCTCAGTAAGGAAGCTTGGTGAGGAATCCTTGGTAAGGAATCCATCATAAGGAATCCTTAGTATTGAATCCTCACCAAGGAGTCCGTAGTAAGGAACCGTTGGTAAATAATCCTCTGTCAGGAACCCTTTGGATTCCTAAGGATCCCTTTGAATGAATTCCTGAGGTTTCCTGCGGATTTCTACAAATTCCGAAGGATTCATTAGGTTTCCTGTGGGTACCTCAGATTCTAATGGGTTCCTGAAGATTCCTATGGATTCCTGAGGAGCCCTGTTGATCCGGATTCCTACGGATTCCTGAGGATTCCTAAAGATTCCTGCGGGTTTCTACGGATTCCCGGAAACTCCGATGGATTCTGGAGGATTCAGATGCGTTCTCATGGGTTACTCAGGCTTCCTGAGGATCCGAACGGTTCCTTAGGATTTCTATGGATTCCTATGGATGCCTGAGAATTCCTACGGATTCCGATGGAAACCTTGGGGTTCCTACGGATTCCCATGGATACCGAGGGATTCCTGGGGGGTCCCCAGGATTCCTCGTGATTCCTGGGGGCCCCTTATGGAGTGCTGAAGACTCCGAGGGTTTCTGGGAATTCCTATGGATTCCTAAACATTCCTGGACATTCCTATGGAGCCTTCATGAATTCCTAAGGATTCCCGAAGCTTCCGAGGGTCCTGCGGATTAATACGGATTCCAATGTACTACGATAGATTCCGAAGGATTCCTGAGGATTCCTGTGGGATCCTGAGGATTCCTAGACTCCCCAGGGATCCCTAAACGGATTTCTACGGGTTCCTATGTATTCCTCCGGATTCCGAGGGGTTCCTCTGGATTCCCATGGCTTGCCAGGGATTCCTATAGATTCCGATGGTTTCCTCTGATTTCCTGGAGAGTCCAAGAGATTCTGAAGGAATCCTACAAATGCCTAGGCTTTCCAGGGAATTGCTAAGGATTCCTGGGCATTCCTCATGATTTCTAAGAATTTCGATGGATTCCTAATGATTCCTAGGGGTCCTGAGGGGATTCCAACTGATCCCTGAGGATTCCGCAACATTCCGACAGATTTCTAAGGATTCCGGTGAATTCCTAGAATTCCTATGGGTTCCTGTGGGCTCCTGAGGATTCGTAACAATCCCCCGTGCTCCTCCTCCTCCTCCTCATCCTCCTCCTCCTCCTCAACCTCCTCCTCCCTCCTCCTCTTCCCTATCCGCCTCCTCGTCCTCCCTCCCGAGCTGGCGCGGGGGCGGCGGCGGTCTGTGAACTCCCAATGCCAGCACTCGTTGCCGGCAATGTTCAACAGAGTAGGGTTCTGGCGCCGACAGGTGCAGGGAGGCGAGGGGCGGGGTCGCCTCCTCCTCTTCCTACTCCTCCTCCTTCTCCTCCTCATCTCCTTCCTCCTCCCCCACCCTTATCTTCCCCCATCATCCATTATCCCTTCATTGCTCCCTACCCAATCCCTAATGCCCGTCCTTTTCCTCCTCCTCCTCCTCCTGCTCCTCCTCCTCCTCTCTCCTCCTCCTCCTCCTCCTCCTCCTCCACCCTCCCTCTCCTCCTCTCCTCCTCCTCCTCCTCCTCCTCCTCCTCCTCCTCCTCCTCATCCTCCTCCTCCTCCTCCTCCACCTCTCCCTCTTCAAAATGATCACCACCACCATTATCATCCTCCTCATCATCATCATCGTCCTCATCCTCATCCTCATCCACGTCCTCGTCCTCATCCTCATCCTCATCCTCGTCCTCATCCTCATCCTCATCCTCATCCTATCCTCATCCTCCTCCTCCTCCTCCTCATCCTCATCCACATCCTAGTCCTCATCCTCATCCTCGTCCTCATCCTCATCCTCATCCTATCCTCATCCCCATCCTCATCATCATCAGCAGCAGCATCATCATCATCATCAGCAGCAGCATAATCATAAGTTAAGTGAGATACGCGTGCACTCAACGGAGGGAGAGGAGGAGAGGAGGGGACGAGAGAGGGACCAGGACAGGGCGATGGTATTTTCATGGCAGCGTGGCGACGCGCATCTCCACCTGGGCGTGGGCCCTGACGGCCCACGCCCGACGCGAGCGCGTGGGCCCTGACGGCCCGCGCGCTCGCGCTCTGGCACGCCTGCGGCCGCTTGGCCCGCGCAGGCGTCTGGGAGCAAAGCGGGGTGGGTGGGCACCCGCGCGTCGGCCAGAGCCGAACGCTACGGACCCAAAATGGCTACCTGAGCCCACACCCCCTCCCACTTAACCTGCAGTCTACAACCAATCAGACTATACAAGTTAAGTGAGATACGCGTGCACTCAACGGAGGGAGAGGAGGAGAGGAGGGGACGAGAGAGGGACCAGGACAGGGCGATGGTATTTTCATGGCAGCGTGGCGACGCGCATCTCCACCTGGGCGTGGGCCCTGACGGCCCACGCCCGACGCGAGCGCGTGGGCCCTGACGGCCCGCGCGCTCGCGCTCTGGCACGCCTGCGGCCGCTTGGCCATGAGAAAAGAGAAAGCGCAGCCGCGCGCGCGGGGACGCCCAGCCCGAAGTGCGAGGGCGGATCCTGAGGCTGCAAGAGCCTCGCGCGCGCGGCCACTTGCCTGCAACCTTGAGGCCTTCCGCGCCCCGCGCACCCAGAGCGCGGGCGCGGCGCGTGCGCGAAGCGCGCAAAAGAACAGAAAAGAGCGGCGCATGATGCGCCGGGCGCAGAGCGCAAGCGTGGCCCCGACCGCACGGCGCGCAGGACGCGCGGCGCGGCCGGGTCCAGGAAGCGCGCGACGTGCGCGCAACGTTCAAACTCCTAAAAAGAAAGAGGATCGCAGGCGCCACCTGCGTACCGTAGGCTAAAAGAAAGAGGATCGCAGGCGCCACCTGCGCACCGTAGGCTGAAAGGATCGCAGGCGCCATCTGCGCACGGTAGGCTGAGAGGAAAGCCGGCTCACTCACGGGCCGCCGCCTTCAGCCCGCAGCCCGCGATGCCGCGGGCGCTGGCGTCGGGATATGGGGTGCTCCACGCCTAGATGGATGGCGTGTTCCCCTGGCGATCGCGGCTCTCGTCGCCGCTGCGGTCTCCGCCGCGCTCACTGCGGTCCCGGGGGCTGCCGCCATCGCCGCCCCTCGACGCGCGACCGCCCGCGCTGGGCTGGTCGCGCTCACTCCGGCCGCGGCTGCCCTGGTCGCCCTTGGAGTGGCCGCCCTTGCCGCTCTTGTCGCCCTTGCCGCCGCTCTTGGTGCCCTTGGCGGCCTTGCCGGAGTACTTGCCCTTGACCTTGCCTCCCTTGCCGCCCTTGTCGCCCGCGCCCTTGCCACGCCAGGCTGGGATCCCACCCCCGCCCGCGGCAGCCTCCGCAGCGGCAGCACGCCGCCGCTTTTTCTCCTGCTCGTACCAGCCGCCGCGAGGAGCGCGAAGCTGCCCAGCGTGCTTCCCGGTCTTACGCCGCGCGCGGCCGGGAGGGGTGTCGCCGCGCCGCGCCCACGCTGGGTCCCGCGCCAGACTGCGGCTGGGCGACCTCTCGCGCTTGGGCCGGTTGCGGCTGGGCGACCTCTCACGCTTGGGCCAGCTGAGGTCGCCTGGCGGGCGGTCCCCCTCAGCCCCCGCACCCGTGGCACCCGTGCTGGGGCGCTCTCCGTGGCCGGCACTGGGGCCCGGCGCCTCCCGCACGGTGTGGCCGCTCTGCCGGGCCTTCTCCACCACCGTCTTGGGTTTGCCGAAGGCGACGCGGCAAGCCTCGCAGTAGCTCACGTCGCACCCCTTACAGTGCCACCGCAGGGCTCCGCTGTTAGCTCCGCCCGCGGGGCACATCTCGCAACCCCAACCGTCTCCCGGGTCAAAGGAGCTCCAGCGCATCTTGAGAGCGCACGTCGGGCAGGCAGGCGGCTGGATGGTCGGGCCATCCTCCCCGTCGCTGCCTGGGTCAGGGCCGCGAGGCCGACTCGCCCACTCCGTGACCACTGTGCACGGGTCCGTCTTGTAGAACCGATAGTTCGACCTCATGCACTCCCGCGCGCGCTTTGCATCAGCGCGGCGCTGGAACTCCACGAGCACACACGGCTCCCGCTTGTGGCGGTGGTCGTACAGGAAGGCGATGTGTTTGACGACCCCAAAGGGCACGACCACCTGCCTGACCACCTCGGCGTCGACGTGGTGCGGTACCCGCTCGATGCGGATGATGGACTCGCCCTCGTCGTGCTGGTCACTGGGCTGCTGCTGGGCGCCCTGGCGCTGCTCCTCTTTGCGCCTACGGCGGCTCCTCGAGCGCGCCTGGCGCTGGGGCGGACCGTCCCCCGCGCCTGGCGCCGCCGTCTCCTCCACCTCAGTCTTCACCTCGAAGGACCGCGGCGGCGCCCCCCCGCTCTTAGTCTTGGGCTTCAGGACGGCCTCACGCTTCACGATGTCGGCCTTCGGGGGGGCGCCACCCGTCTTGGGCTTCAAGACGGCCTCCTCCTCCCGCCCCCTGCGCCCGCGATCGCGAGGCTCATCGCGCTCGCGATCGCGGCGCCTCGCGCGCGAGGGCGAGCGCAAGGGCGCAGGGCGCCTCTCACGCTTGCGGACCTCCTCGGCGAGGCGCTCCTGGCCCGGGGACCGCGGGGGCCGCGGGCGCCCCGCTGGAGCGCCTTTGCTCTGGCGCCGCGCTGCGGCCTGGATGGCCGCACGCGCCAGAGCCGCGGTCACGGCGTCCTCGCCCGGCTCGAGGACCGGGGCTGGGGTCGACCTCCCCTCGCCCCTGCTCGAGGCGTCGTCCACGTCGGTGAGCTCCACGACCGCCTCCGCGTCCACCGTGCGCATCATGTCGAGCAGCCCCCTGTTGTGCTTGCAGAGCTCGCGGAGCTCCGGCATGGGCTGCCCCTGGAACTGGGCCAGGGCGAGCGCCAGCTTGGCCGCCTGGCGCTGGACCTTGATATTCGGCCCCGCGCCCACTCCCCACGCGCCCCGCTTGCCGTCGACGATCACCAGCTGGCCGTGGTCCTCGCTCGCCCCCGCGGCCAGGCAAGCCGCCGCGATGCACGGGGCTGCTTCGTGGTCGTGGTTGACCACCTCGACGAGGTCCTCGCTGTCCAGCTCGTCCACCACCGTGTACAGGATGTTGTGGGCGGCACTCCGGAGCTCGTCCGACAGTGCGGCCCCCGAGACGACGACGCCGAGGGGGTTCACCGCCATGATGCTGTAGTCATGGCCGCGCGCCTTGCTCTGGTCCGGGGCCACCAGGCCCACCAGGAATCCCATGATGCACGCTGCCGGAGCGCGGGGCGGAGGCGCGGCTGGCGCGCGAGGCTGGGGTGCGCGCGCTGCTCGCGCGCCTCGCTCTGGAGTGGGAGATGGCTGCGGATGAGAGGACCAAGAGGAGGCGGGCGTGCCTGGGGCGATTGGGGGCGGTAGCGAAAGGGGGGTCGAGGGCGAGAGGTCCACCGGGATACCCCCGCAACGCGAAGCCCCCGCCCCGACATGAACACTTGCGGGACCCGCCTGCTGCTTCCCAACACGCCCGTTAACTCCTCGCCCTGGCTCGTATCTCACCGGCTCCTCCTCTCCTTCCCCCTCCATACTTGACCCTGCTCGCGCCGAAGGGCGCGCCCAGGGGGGGCGCCCGGGCGCCCAGGCCGGGCGTTCCGAGGGCCTCAGGTCGCTCCCAAACGGGGGCGGGTCGCTCCCGGCCAACCGGTCGGGGCGGGCGCCGGCCGCGACGCCGTCATCACCGCGGGCGTCCGGGGCCAGCAAGGCGTGGCCCTCCGCCATGCCTCGGGCGAATGGAGCCTGACGCCGATGGTCCTCCCAGAGGTATCCGTGGAAGGCATCCGTGGACCACCTCCCGAACCTCTTGACCGCTTCCAGGTCGCGACAGGCGTGGTACAACGCCGTCGCGCCCCCGATGCGCAGGGAGTGGGATCCCATCTGGCCTGCGTCCACGCCGCAGGCGGCAGCCGCGAGTTGGAGGAGCCCCTGCACCTCCTCCCGCATAATCGGGTGGCCATCGGGCCGGCGGAACAGGGGGAGCCCCGCCTCGGTTCCTCGTCCAAACCGGTCCGGCAGCTCCCTCTGGAGGTCGGCGAGTGCGTCCACGACACACAACTCCACCCCCGAACGGTAATGGTTGCGTACGCAACCTGCGTTAAACTGGTCCGTCTTGGACGACGTGATCGTCAGCACTACCTCGTCGCAGTCGCTGAGCCATGCGCTGGGTGTACCCCCGCGCAGCCCCTGCACGTCCTGCCCACGCACCACCCGTCCCATGCTCCAGGAGCGGTCCTCTTGGACCAAATACTCCGACGCGCGGAGCATGAAGAAGTACCCCGTCATAAGCGCCGCCCATAGGATGGTCGCCTCTCGGCGCGT